GGTCGGTGTCCTGCAGGTTTTAGATGTGTCCTTGATCCAACACAGCTGATGAAAATGGCTAAATTACCTCCTCAACATGTCTTGTAGTTCTCCAGAGGCCTGGTAATGAACTAATCATTTGATTCAGGTGTGTTGACCCAGAGTGAGATCTAAAACCTGCAGGACACCGGCCCTTGAGGCCTGAAGTTCCCCACCCCTGATTTAAAGCCTCGGCTTTGTTGCTATGACCATCACCACTTTGAACGATGATTGGCTGTTGGCACAATTAACATCAAAGTTACTGTAAAAATGTTATTCATCAGATATTTGCATTAAAATTCTCCAAAAGGGACAAACACAGTAGTGAGATCAACTTCAGTGCCTGCTGCTGGCTTATCTGTCTCCTTGTGTGCCGCATTTAGGTTGTCTTTAAAACATCTCTTTCTGCTAAGATTTGTGTGTAAAAATACTGGGCAACAGATAACTGGACAAGTTATCTGTTGCCCAGTATTTAAAAACCAGATGTCTACAAACTTCTAAAAGTTACTGCGGGCTTGTAAATTTGGCAACAGCCATAAATAACTGTGTGGTTATTATTTTTTATAGGCTGAGCAGTCAGTACTTGCTGTAATTCAGTCATAAGCAGATAACCAAGTCGATGAGCTGATTCTTTAACTCCATTGTTCTCTTTGTATGACACTGTGAATAAGGAAATGTCAAATCTATCAAGGATAGCGCTCTTTTTTTAATCACAGGAGCTGAAAATGTCACATCATTATGACTCAAGAGCCATGACAACAGCCTTGCTGGAAAAGAATCCTTTTTATATTGTTGGATCATAATGAGCTGTGTGTTTTGCCTACAGCTTCATCAGGCCTGATGATAATGACATACAGGTTTTGCCCATTAAAAACTAATGAAACAAAGCAGATTTTTCTGTGCCAGTTCAGTCTTTCCAGGTTTTTAAGCTATAAATGTTCTAACCATTCTTGTTTCTGTTACCAGCACCTTATGGCTGTTAATTTCTGCATCAACAAAAAGTGAAAAGTATATTTACCTCAACTAAATACCAGTCATATTTTTAAAAACTA